CTCTGTGTTGCATAAGTTTAAACTGAAGGAGCTGTGGCAGAGAGAGCCTTTAATGTTTAGTCTATTAATATTCTGAATAATTAAACCCAATAATAGAATTCAGGATGTTGAGTGTTTTTTCTATCTGCTTGTAATTATTCACCCACCTTCATTTCACTGTGGAAATCACTCAGAAGCTCCGCGCTAAAAACGGATCATCTCACCTGACTGTTTCACGTGCTGTTTGCTGAATGAGGCTTCCTTGATTTCCCAAACATTTCTAGATTGCACCACAACAGCGATTCTTCACATCGACATACATTTATCTACAAGCCCTTGTACAAAAGGGAGAGAGGAGTCGTGTTTGGGAAAACAAAGAGACGGAAAAATAACAGACAAAAAAAAAAACACATTGAAACACAGTATCATCATAAGTTTGGATCAAAAATAGTTTACAAGTTACAGCAAAGAGTAAAAAAAGTCACTCTTACACCTTGCAACATCTTTCTAGAACCCAGAAGGGGCCAAAAGGGCCTTTCAACGCAACTCACAGGACATTTCTTTGTATCACAAATCTTTGAATTACAGGTATATAAAGCAGAACTCAGACTAGCCAGCACCAGAGACATTCCTCATCGTTGCTGTGGCCCTGCATATCACAGCAACACACCTCCACAGAGTTTCTAGATATAATGTGGCGACTGCTGAGGTCCACTCTAGAAACTCTACGCTCATCAAGGCACATTCAGGATTCCTATATCCCTCCAAAGATAACCATAATGGGGGCGAAGCAGCTCCTGGAAACACATACTTCTTTTTAATCATTAATGTTTCAAAGCCAAAAAAACTGCCCCCAGAGTGTTTGCAGAAGCTGTTTCAACCACGTTTCAACCCTCTTTCCTCCTTCACATTCCTGAATGAATGAATGGATGGATGAATGGATGGAGAGTCCCCTCCTCTTTTTATTGACAATAACGCCACTCTGCCCTAGCTCTGGCAGCGGATAGGAGCAAAGACACGTTTTGCCATGGAAACTAGCCCTATGGCTGGACACTTTTGAGGACACGCTGCTACTCAATCTGTATGAAGGGTCATGTGAGGAAATGCTATAACTACGGTACTCAGGTGCGCTCCACGGTCCATGTTTCTGCGTTTTTGAGCACAATTTTCAAAATAAGTCTAATTTACACTTCCTGTCATTTTCACGTGGCTCAGCAGAGTGCCACCTGTTGTCAGGCTATTGTTGAGTGGTATTTCTGCAGAACACAGGAGGGTCTAAGAGCTGCTAAAAGAGCTAAAAGAGCTGCAGGCCAGTGGGGCAGATAACAACCCTGTGGACATATATCGCCTGCTTGAAGTGGGTGGCCGGCTGACCTGCAACCACAGAGCTGAGAGGGTCTCCTGACTGCAGGCAAACCACTCTGACTTCAACTGAGTCCAAATAGAAATGGAAGTAAGTAGGAATTTTGAGAGCATCAAAGTCAGGGATGTCACATAAATATACTGATACACACGATACTGTATCTAAGATGTACTGTAGTGCAGCTTAATCTGTATATATTGTAGCATATATTGACTATACTTGGATGATATAAGGTATATTAAGTGTCAGCTTCTTGTCACAAACAAGTCTTGTCATGTTTAAAATATTGATCTCAATGAGGATCAGGTACATAAACCAGGAATGCTTATAAAACCGTCAACGTATGAACTGCTGTTAAAGCCATCGCTGCTCAGTAGCTAAACTGGACAACTGTGCATGGACATAACGTGTATATGTGTGTGTGTGTGAGTGTGAGGGGGAGTAAGGACCTATGCATTTAGGGTCCCTCGTAACTCACAGGAGTTGATTTTTATACCGTCCATAAGCAGAATAATGCTGTCTTGTTTTTATTCAGCTTATAAATCATGGCTGCACGCTCAGCCCTTTAATAGGTGGGGGGTTGAGGGAGTAAACACACCAGAGAACAAAAAGGCAGAACAGCCGCTGCCACTCCATTTGAAAAAAAAAAAAATCCTCTTAAGTATTTATAAGACTCTCAGTAGAGCAACAACACCGCCTATTGTGGGTCTTTGATTCCACTGTTTTAATTCTGCTGTGCAAACACGTGTTTATAACAGCAGCCCGTCTCTGAGCTCGTGTTTCCGTCGCAGGGCTCACTTCTGCTCTAATATGAATAAGTTAGATGATCAGATCAAGAGGATGATACCATATGGCATGTTTGGCATCATTAGGGTGTCAATTTGGGAGCAGAAATACGAGTCTTGAGCCCTCTTTGTCTGCCAGTTTAGCCCAAAAGGAAGTAAATTATCCAATATCCCAAACATCTCTACAACATGCTCGTCAGTTGGGTGCAAATTTTAAATTTTAGACCGCGACTGCGGGTGACTGTATGGCGCTTAAGAGATAGTTTGTTATGTTTTAAGTCCAGCACAGAAAATTCTAAACTATTTTGATATTACTTACCAAAACAATCTCAACTCAGGGGTCCTTCTGGTACTTTTGGCCATATCACATGGTCTTCATCAGCAGATTGAGTTTGCTCAGTTGGTACGAAATGAGAGAAACACTGAACATCTACAGTTCCACAACAACTGATAAAACTGTCTACTGATCTACTGATGAAGACTGTGGTTGAAAGCTCCAAAACAAGCGATTAAAGGGACCTTGAGTTGGAGCTGTTGCTTTGTCCAAGCTCGACAATAAAGTGCTGAACATTTTTGTAGTTTGGGATATACCTAAAGTACTTCCACGCTCGGACGTAAGAATTTGTACTTTTTGTAGTAATGTAATACAAAATGCACTAAATAATCCGTTTTGCGCTGACAATGAAACATGGGGACACAGTAATGAGCACCAAAATAAAAACCATGAAAACTGATGAGGAAGCAGGAGAGAGAACAGAGTTTTCGGGGGGCGACCCACTCACTAACTCGTGTCCGGACACTTTGTAAACTTGAGGCAGGGTGTTTTTATTTTCATGTTCTACAGCATAACATTGTGTACAAAATGGAGTTAATATGATCAGAAGACACATGGGAGAAACAGCAGCACTGTATGGGAATATAGCACCTCCATTTCTCCCCCGCCACGGCTACAGCACCAGTATGTACAGTATGCAGAGACAGACCTGGGCTGAGTGTCTTTAAAAAAAAAAAAGCCCCTTTAATGCGAAGGCCATCTTTGTGCCATTGGCAGTGAATGGAACCAAGGTGTTACTCAGTACAACGATACCAGGTCAGGACACAGTCCACAAACAAATCCCAGACTTCCTCACTACAAGGAGGTGGACAGGTTTGAGAAATATGGCAGCAAATATCCTTTTGAGGTCATTTGGATTTACGCTAAAGAAGGGCGTGAGCTTAGCTTATTTTGGCCGAATCTTACTACAAGCCTACAACGCTGAGCTAGGATCAGCGTCAAATGAGAACTTCTTTTACAATTAGCTGCCTGGAGATGCTGCCTCTTACAATATACAGTCTTGCCAGAACCTGTAAATGGTCTGAACTACTGTCGGGACTTGTTCCTGGACAGAACCCTGACAGAATCTGATTGGCTGCCAGATTTTTTCCCCACACCAGTGGAGGTCCGAACACAAACATGAAGCACCACAATGATGGAGAAAGGGCAGTGTGGAGTGCATGGAATAAAAAAAAACCCAGTCACATCCAGCCACTGAGGTCTGGAGCAACAAAAACATCTTTGAACCCCCCCAACGTGTTTGTCAGGAGCCCGCAGTGGACTCGACCTGCACACACCCTGACAGGGAAACGCCACAGGCCATTTGATAAAGGTGTGTAACTCCTTGAGAGGAGCGAGAGTAAGAGTGCTCGGGGGATGAGGGGAGCAGAGCACCGTGCTTCAGTGGCAGCCCGCATACTTTGCCGGGGGGCTCCTTCACATTCAGACACCGAAGCATGTGACCGCGCATGTGAGCGAAAGCACACCGAGATGTCAATCAAACTAACTGCAAGTGGGCTTGCATGACACCAGGAGAGGAGAATGGGAAATAAGATAAAGGTTTTAATCAACTATGGTTTTGGACCGCTTAGCAGTGCCAGCAGCGGGGAGTGCGATGTGAAGGAGCTCCGGGCGGAAGCGTGCGGGTCACACTCACTGAAAATAGCATAATAAGCTTGGCTTGCAGTAAGAATTATTCCTGGGCTCCCTCTTACAGTTGAAATAGCCACAAACATTTCCTTCAGCAGAACATGAAAGTAAAATTCATAAACAGTATATATATATTTATAGATATATATATATATATTCATATATATGAAAAAAATAAAATAAAAACAGCCAAATCAATGTATTTTGTTTTTGCTTTGAATCTAAACATGTTTTTTTCTTTACCTATATATAGATTTATCTTTTCTTAAACAATAATACGTTCACATAATACAATGACAAATCAGTTCTGAGATAATCTAAATATTTCTTACTGAAACATCAATGTAATGACATGGAAGAAGCACAATGTTTTTTTTTTAAAGAGTGACTTTAAGGCTCTCTATATCTCTATATTCAAAACAACAGTAGCCCGAGAGGTTGAAAGGTGCATTATTTCCTCACGCAATGTCATACTTGACTCTGTCTTGTTCATAAGGTGGCAGATGCAATGACCGAGCTAACTGGTCATAAACATGGAGCTTAGAGAAAATATGAGAACTACATATATACATGAACAGACAAAGAAAAGAAAAAAATAGACAAAATAGAAACAGTTGAGCAAACATAACCGAGCTACGATTTTCAGGTGTGGAAGTACTGTGTATTAATGGGGGAGCGTGTGAGTTTATTAGCTGGTGTTGGTTCTCAGTAATTCTGGTGTAAAATGATCTTGTGTGTGCGACAGAAATACCAATAAAGATTTCAGCGTGCATTCAAACACATTTCATATAATGCAGATAATAGATGCAGAAACAGAATCACAATGTGCCTGTTGGTAGAAACATTTGTCACAGGACATTTCTTTCAATAGGACTGAATTGTAATAAAGTAAGAAACGCAGCCCTTGGTCCATTTATCACTCTGAAGTGAACATCTGTAAACTATTTGGCCTTGATTTTGTTTCCTGCCTTTGAGCCAACAAGGAGGCTGGAATTCAAATACACATTCAAATGACAAATCAGATAGCCACATTATTTCTACCAATCCCACTCTTTACCTCTTTTTTCCTCGTTGGTAACAAGTTCACGTGTCGAGCCAAAGCTTTGCTTGCATGTTGCAAAATGAATGGAGTGTGCAGGGCATAACAAAGGAGTGACCTAATTAAGTGCTTATAACTTATTCCGCCCTTCTCCAAAACTCTTGGAGCAAATAATGGTTCAGAAAGGGGAAGCAGTCACATCTGGGTGGTCACATATTCGCTTTTTTTTTGCTGTTACTTCCTTTTATAACCAGTTAAGTTGAAAAAAAGGGGGCTAGTGGAACATGGAAACATTTTCAACTCTCTACAAATCAACCAGAAATGTATCAAGTGCTCTGTTATACACATACAGTGCAAGTGCCTCACTTTGGGTTTTAGCCCTCCTCCTTTGGTTGACAGATCATCAAGATGCGCCTCTGTGGCGTTCGTAAACACAAAGATATTTTGTTCCCTTTGGGAAGGTGTAAAATTGAGGAGGAGGACGATCTGTCTCTATATCTTTTTATGGCCTTGCACGCTGCTGACTTCATGGTTCCAGTGCTGTCAGGAAGGTCTTTTAACACACTTTCTGTGGCAGGTGGTAGGTAAACAGTCTAGGTTTTGCCAAAAATGTAAAATAAAAAGAGAGAAAAAAACAACATCAACAACAGTAAACATGGCACCTTAACAAAAACCAAAAACATAAAGAATAAGATAAAGTTGTTTTTGGTTGCAAAGTTGTCATGTGTAAAGCAAGAGAGAGAAGCTATTGAGTTAGTGCTGTATTCAGTATAACACCAAGTTTTAGCTGCTGGTTTTTGCTTTCTTCAGAATCACATCCCTGATAAAACAAAGAAAATGAATCAACTGGATAAAAAAGTGACATAGAAAACAGTTCCTGTCTTCTGCTTTGATTGTGTGTGTGAATGCTGTTTTTATGTTGTAAATCACTGGCATGGTCCATCTGCTTTCCCTGACTGTAAATTGTATCTTTTTTGCATTGATCATTCACCTTGTGTGTCTCTATTCGTCCCTTTCTTTCTACGTGTCAACCTGCCCTTCCCGGCTCTGCTGTACATTCCCTCTGGGCTGTCAGGAGTGAAGAGCAGGTAAAGAACCGGGAGAGGCTGTGGTGTCAGTGATAAAAGATCACCTCAAAAAGTCCAGAAATAAAACGAGAGATGAAGGAAGAACAAAAACTGTGAGCTTTACCTCCTTGCTTTTTCATAAAGTTCTTCAAAAACTGAAGCAAAGAGGCCCATTCTTCTTTTGGATAAAAATGTTTTTTAACAAAACACACAAAAAAGCTTTTGGCCTTCTTTTCTGGACCCCTTCTTTGACAAGACTTTCCATTTAAAAACCAGAGCTTTACAAAACATAGAAAGATGCAACACTGAACCCAACATAAAAAAACAGAAGAGGAGATCTATTTTTTTCTTTACGCTGTTTAGCTGCACTGGGGTTTCCCCAAAACTGGGAGTGATGGGAATGGCGAGGCAGTACTGAGAATCCTGGACGGCAATGTAAAAAGCTGACTCCGCTGTCCTATGGTTCCTTCCACAGCTGGAATGGTTGGGTGAAGCTGAGGAGGGCGACGATAGGGGGCGAAGCTAGACCTTGACGGACAGTTGCGACTTTGAGTTGAAGAAAACCAAATGCATGCAAAATGATGCCCCTCCCCCAGTTCTCCGGCGAAAAGGCAGCAGAGCCTGTTGGCGTGGCGCGCTGCGATGTTGGTGGGGAAACGCTCAGTCGGTGAATCTCTGGCAGGCCTTTTTCCAGCGGCAGGCGGTGCACCACATGTCGCGGTTCTCCATCCCGTACACCTTACGGCACTTCTTCCCTTCTCCACGCACCTTTCGACTGGGGAGGAGAGATGGAGAATAACAGATGAAATGGCAAATTATTATGTTTTAATTATTAATATGATCATCAATCATGCAGAGACCTGTAAAAAGAAATGCAAACAGATCTAAATGAAGTGACACTTTAGACTCTTATAGAGATGGATGCACAAACAGATCATTTTGAGAAATGATTTGCATTCTTGCTGAGCGTTAGATGAGAGAAGAAGATCAATGCCTTTTGAGCTAGCTGTTTCCCCTTGTTCCCAGCCATAATGCTAAGCTCAAACCAAAGCTAAGCGGCTGTAGCGCCATATTTAACGTACAGACATAATAA